CCGGGTGCAATGAAAGTTAGATAATAAGATCACTAAAGAGATTACGTAAGATTAGCTTTTGAAATATGTAATAATATCTAAGTAGAAAGACAGGCTGAACTAACTTTCTCTGACCGGATATCATCAGCAACAGCCTACTGTAGGAGAGAAAAACCCAGCTTCCAGTTGAAGATGAAATTAGAAAAAGATGATGGAAGTGAATAGTACATGTAATACGGAAATCCCAAACTGCATCATGTGGCAAGCTTTAACTTGGAATCCTGAAGGAAGCGGAAAAGAGGAAGACCAAAGAACACATTACATCGGGAAATAGAGGCAGATATAAAAAGGCTGAATAACAACTGGAAAGGATTGCTTGAGACAAGGTTAGATGGAGAGTGCTGGTGGGCAGCCTACGCTCCCCGACATTGGATAACAGGCTTAAGTAAGTTAGTTATAAATGTGATCATGTGTGACTGTAATCCTCATACTTGTTATTTGGTCATCAAAGATTATGATCAATTTTTAAACAAATGTTAAGACAATGGCTACAGTAAGAAGTGTACGAATAAATAGATAGATGTATTTTGATGGAATTTTGTTCTCTGAGATGGATGGTTTGGTCGTGGAGCTCTCATCATTCTTTTGTTTGACATCATAAGCATAAACTTCAGGTGGAAGTGAAGTGTTCGAATCTCTCCACATATGGTTCACAGCTTGTTCTGTACACCTCAATGTTGATTGATTCTTGTTGACTATAAACACATCATTGTGTATTTCTTTGTTTCGGTTGTTTGATTTTTGGTCCAAATGGGTCTACATGACAAGTTGTGAGTTATATGTGGAGAAATTCGAACACTTCACACCTACCTGAAGTTTGTGCTGATGATGTCGTTCAGAATAACTATGAAAGCCTCACGACCAAACTATCCATCTCAGATAACAAAACTCCATCTAAATCATTCACCTGAGCTACAAATCTTCACCATCTCAAATAGATAGATAATTAGGTAGTAAAACAAACAAACATAATGCAATGAAGATACTTAGACGAAAATCTAATGTTTTAAGTTGGCAGTTCCCTCGGAAATACAAAGCAATGAACGTCAATTACAAATCGTCAGCCAGTCATGATTTTTTTAATCGATGATTCATTTTGTATAGTGTAAAGTGAAGAAGTAAATGATTGGCCTGTCCAATAAATACAAGAATTAAATGTTAATGGTTATCAGTTATGGAAATAACGAACTATCAATCCCATTATGTTTAAGCATCTATCATTATAAACCAATCTGACTTTAATGGGTTGTTTTTATTAAATGATTAGTTCCACTGGGGTACTTGACATTTGAGGAATTCTAAGAGTGTTTTCGACGATTACAAACAAGATGAGACTGGCATTTTGTTACTAAGAGGGACCATTTTGATTGATGTGACCTAAAATGTGCGAAGAGAGTATTTTTTTATTCAGATCATGAATCGATTGATTTTAGACCACCATTGAATACTTGGAAGCACTGAATGGCCATTTCGTTCTATTGCGGGACTCCTCAGCAGTGCGCATCCACGATCCCGCTAGTGGGATTCAACATTAACACCGTTGGATACCGGCCGGCTCAGTGGTCTAGAGGTAAAGCGTTCGCGCGCGAGGCTGGAAGTCCTGAATTCAAATCCTGCGAGCGGTTTCGTGGATGCCAACTGCTGAGGAATTCTACAATAGGACAAAACAGCCATTCAGTGCTTCCGGGTTTTGAATAGTGGTCTAACAGCAATCGGTTTATGGTCTCAATCAAAAGTTAAATAATCTCCATAACCTTATACTGAAAATTTTTCTAATGAACTTATTCTCTATATGTATGTAACAGACTATCATATTATTATTGACCATTCATATGCCTTATTCTTGTATTTTTGTAAGCAATGATGGATAGTGGCTAGCAGTGGAATCCAGGACGCGCGTTTCGTCCTATTTGTGACTCGTCAGCCGAATGTACCCGCATCTCAGAGTTGATGTTCACTCTGACACTCGAACCCAGCACCATTCGCTTCAAACACCATCGCGTTATCCAATTAGCTACTGAGTCCTGATAGCCACTTGCTTATGCAATGGGGTGAATCTGAATTCACCTGGTATTGTTTGGCTTGTATCTTCCCATTGAGGTTTAGCACTGCAACTGATCAGTCTGTTATTGGCATATGTGCATACTGTGCGTATGCCTCGATATTACCTTAATTCACAAGCTATTTGTAAGCAATGATGGATAGTGGCTAGCAATGGCATCCAGGAAGATACAAGCTAAACAATACCAAATGAACTTATTCTTGTATGATCAAAGAAGTGTCGTCATTAACATGAAATTCACACACACACACACATAAATATAATTAAAACAATACAAATGTAATTATGAATCGATGTATGTGTATTAACCATGGCTAAATCATGTATTTTTATCAATATTATTGTCAAACTTATTATCGATTAAAAATATAATAATAATAATCAATTATTGCACTACTTCACTTAGTAACTTGATAGATCAGGAAAGTTGAAGTACTTTATAAACATTCTCATTGGGTTGTTCTTTGTTGTTTTTGTTGTTGGTTATCCTGTACGACCGTCCAGTGCTTCACGGTCACTTCTTGAAGGTCAAAATGATTTGTAGTATGGTGCCAAGTTTTTATCGATATGATCATAATATTACTGATCAACCTTACTTTGTGTGGATATAATATGTGATAAAAGGAGTATGGTCAAGGTTATCACGATAAGAAGGAATGAATGTGAATTAGGAAAGATGGATGGGTGGATTAAGAAAGATATAAACACTAAAGGAATTTGCATGAGAAGTCTATAATATCCAGTTCAGGTCTCTGGTGATCCAGTTGTTGACCACCCTAAACATCGATGCTGGATATACCTCTTCCGGATACTTCGATTCGGTTTTCAGGAGTTCATCCAGATGACTTCAGCTATGTAGAGTGTCCGTAGTCTAGCTCCTTGAGATAGGTCATTTGGAACTTGACACAATAAATAGAAAGCTCTATGGAGTTGAATATGATGTTCACCATGTATTAAGTGAGAAAGAATGTGACTGTTAACCGATTTAGTGAATTATTTTCCCAACCATCCTAGTACACGTTCACGAGCACACAGGGTAAAGCGTTCGTAGTACGGCCTATGTACCTAGGTCAACTGGAGCATTTAAATTTGTATGCACACATTAAGGAGCAAATCATCGATAACCTATCCTTGATTTGTTGAATAAGTGCTGGTTTGGCTGAGATTATATGCAACCTGACGGTGGGAAATGTCCTTTCAATAGTTCTTTTAATTCGACCTGTTTAAACGTCACCTGTTATGTCCCCATCCAAATAGGGTTTCTTTACTGACCACGTCAGGTGTGGATTTCCTCAAAATCACTCTAATATTATCTTCATGACCATTCAGATAGGATGGTGTTTTGATGCACTGCTTGAAGCTACTGATATTTCTATAAGTAGTCAAGGAATCAGTAATGACAAAAACAACTTCAATTTAAGCCCAAAAAATAAATTAACAAGTTCAAATTATATCAAGAGATATTTACACTTACTCAGGTAACTATTAATACGGAGAATACAAGTTGATCAACAGTAATTATTCAGCGACATATAGGTGCCAGTCTTAAAGGAGGCTAATCGTCGAATTTTTCGACCATGAAACTAGGGAATATTTGTTCGACTTGTATATGAAATATCTGCACTCTCTATACTGCATGTAATTCCGAGTGGCGAGTGTGAACTGAGGAATAATTTCTGTTTCAAGCAACCTGCCAGATCCCTTCAACCATCTGACATCCCATCCATTCATATATTCGCAAACAGATGGTTGATTGTAGTAGATGTCTACCAGATGTGACTGAATCTGGAATTCATGTTCATCTTCAATTTATAATAGAATATTTGCTACTTTGTGGTAGATCGAACCGTCTTTTTTGAAAGAACCCTGATCACATATCCCGCTACAAGCCTTCTAAGAAATCTTCCATATCACATGAATCTCTACAATACTGAAGTCTGCGGGTAGTTACGACCAGATTAATTTCTCTTCAGGACTGTTCAAGTGAACAAATACGCAGAGCATATTGTGATTTTGGTGGATTAATATGAATCTGTATCACATTACTTTCATAAATTATACGATGTTTCAGGAATTGAACTACTATTCAACATATTGTTGATTGAATCGGACTTTTAAATGAGCGAATAGCACACTATCACAACACTCAGTGTGTGTAGTTTTCATGTAGATTATCCACATTATATAATGAACCATGACCGTAGGCATCAAGGTAGCTTGTGTGGTATGGAGGGATTTTGGGGGCCGGTGTAAGATCCATTTTGAATGTTTTGTGTGTTGGTGAAAATCCCTCTATGTATATACTTGTACTTTATTCCTATTGATCACATTAGTTGTATTTTGATTGCCCCCTGAATGCCCTGGTACGGCCGAGAGTGGGGAGAGTCCGCTCTCCCTCTCGAAATACTCTCACACGGCCACGCGTATACAGCCTCTGCCAGGGAAGTCCTACTCATTGCCTTCTCGTGGCGGGGGTGTTGTCCACGAAAATGAGAGGACGAAAAGCGAATGTCCGGCGCTTTAACCGGATTCCAAATCAATGGTGCACATGGGCTCCAGTATCCTGCGGGAACGAATGGCGTATGAACCAATCGTTGGTCACCGGCTACCATGGGACTGCATCTCCTTACGATGCTCCACTGCCTTGTGGGTTAGACCCTTAGGTCAAAGGCTCGGGGAGTGGCCCCCTAAGAAAACCACCTGCTTCGGTTTGGGCACCCGGGCAGTATCACAGCCCACACACAAATTGATGAACTCTATATGCCTATGGAAATTATCTTACTCGCTTTGAAAATCAAACAATTGATTCTGATTATTATCATTACAATTGTTAATTCTATCGAAGCGTCCAAGTGACCCCGATTGAGATACGCGCAAAATCGAAGTTCCAAAACAACGATTTGTCTACAAAAGCGGTTCTTTATTAAATAATGCACAAAATTTAGTTACAAACCTCAACTTGTGAGGTGTCTAGGCGTTTAAACGCGTCGTTCAAGAATGAAAATATCAAAAGCTTCCTGTAAGAGTAACATAAAGAATGATTACAACATACGATAGTCCGAAGACAGCCGATAGCTGTGTCTAAATTTGGTAACAGTTTATGAACAACCGAAACTCGAACCAAGAGCAAACAATATGGAAACTGTTGCATTCAAACAAATGCATAAAACTGTGGATAACCTTTACAGTAATTAAATTACAGTGATTATAATGATAAATACAATTATAAGTAAGATAAACATTAAAGATATATGTGAACATTCCAGAATGTTACAGTACAACTTGAGTTACAACATAAGTGTGAAAATTGTTGGGTATACAGCGGCCTACTGAATGTAAATAAGTAGTATAAAACAACATACAAAAGAGTAGAAAAGGAACATATAGGAACAATGTAAAACAAACTTAACACCGCCCCCCAAAGACAGCATGTCTTTCCTTACTTTCGCTGATTAGGTATTAACGTAAAAACATTCAGAGGTGACAATGGTACGATTTACTCTAGCCACAGTCACTCTGAAAAGTCTCTCTATCCTCTACTTTTCGGTCATCAGCTCCTTCTTATAAACAAATTTTACATATGCCTCTAATAATTGTACCCTTCCACGTTCTGATCTTCGCTTGGTTCCATAGACCATCTCCTCCTGGATCAAAACTTACCACGAGGCCTTTAGGCCAGTTATTTCGTGCACCAGTGTCTCCAATAATCAAGACTGGACCGCGAACTTGTAAATCTCGTCTTCCTTGTGTCCATTTCGTTCGCGTCTGTAAGAGTGGTCTATCATTAGGTATTCTCTCTGCTTCAGTCAAACAGGTGGTGAGTGTCTCGTAGGACATAGATACTGCGCTCGAAAGTCTACGTATGCTTCCTATTAATTTTTCCCATACTCGATGATGATTTGCGTAGGGAGTGTTATGGTGCCATTCTATGTTCCGATGAGTCATTTCTTCGGCTACTCTACTATCCTTAAAGTCTGGTAACGGATGTTGTATCTGCTTGTCTAACCCAACTAAAGGAGACATGGATACAGTTGTCTTAAACTTCTTATCATCATACTGAATAAAACAATCATCTTTCTGATTCTCTGTTTCACGCTTGATGTCAATAGAACTCTTAGCAGACGCCACTACAGGAGATACAAGTTTCGTATTTTCAGAGAACTGAGTTGTTGCTTTGCAACTAATTGATGACTCGTGTAGTAGTATCACAGACTTAGCACTATCGTTCACGCCAGAAACACTAGGGAGATCTGTTTCGGCAGAGAACATAACAGATGTTTTCGATGACATTAACTCGCCGCTATCTGTTGGAAGAATTTTGTCTGGAGGAGAAATACATCTAAGGTCAATATTCACTACTGTATCGACGTGACTATCGTTGACAGTTTTTAGAAGGTACTCATCGTCAACAGCTGGTGATGAAATAACTTGTTCTAAATCCATTAGATTCTCGTCTGTCGCTTTAGATACAGAGTCAAAGGTATATATAAGTCCGTTACTTCTTGAATCAGGTGGAGTGTCAAATCCAGAAAAACGAACTGACGGTAAACTTCGATGAACCCTGGAATCTTCAGTCTCAACAGCGGTTGCTGTTACTATGAGTGAGCGTACATCATCATCATCGACTAAGAGTGACACATCAGGAGAGTGTTTAAGGCATAAATCAGGATCGTCTATAAACGGCAACAAGCGATTTGAAGGGTTTTCAGGCGCTACTGTGGTCAAAGAAGAGGGTGGAGTGGGTCCGTCCTGGATAGAACTCTTTGCTTCTAAACAACCTTCCCAACTCAATCGTGACTCTTCATCTATCATCTCATCCCACCCATAGTTTTTACGACATAGCTGTTGCAGAATTCGTTTAGGGGTAAGTGATAAAGGCGCTAGAAATCCAAGCGGATTATATAACGATGATGCACATGATAGAATGCCTCTCTTAGTGATCGGGCGTTCGGGAAGATTTACGTCGAATGCAAAACAATCGGATTGCGTGTGCCAACAAAGTCCTAAAGTTCTCTGTATACGTTCTGTTGAACCTGGTATACGAACCAAATTGTTTGATCTATCACCTATAGGGACGTCATTCAGCGCTTCATTTACGTTACTAACCCATTTATGTAAACGAAAACCTCCAAGCGCAACGAGTCTTATTAGGTTATTTGCTAACTCGGCAGCTTCTGGTATTGTTTCTACTGAGACTAGACAATCGTCTACATAAAAATTTTCTCGTAAGGTGGACTGGGTTTTTTCATCAAACAAATCTCGGTGGTCTGTAGCTGTACGTCTTAAAGCATAGGTAGCGCAAAATGGCGAGGACGTAGCCCCGAAAGGGTGTACATGCAACTCATAGACCTCAGGAGGAGAATCAAGATTGCCATCGGGATACCATAAGAAGCTGAAGGCCTTTGTATCCTTTTCGGGTAGATGTACCTGGAGGAACATTTCTTCAATGTCTGCTGACAATCCAATCTTATGCTTTCTGAATCTAAGCAAAACTCCCACTAGGTCGTTTGTAAGATCTGGTCCAGAATATATACAATCATTTAGGGACCTGTTTTGTAACTTAGCAGCACAATCAAAGACTATCCGAACTTTACCTGGTTTTTTAGGGTTAAATACGGGATGATGTGGAATAAAATACCTTTCTTCTTCGATAGCTTGAGTTACTCGAGACAAATATCCTTTACTTTCGTGGGTAGCTAATATAATAGTATACTGTTTCCGGAGCTGTTCGTCTTTTAGCAACCTTTTACGTAGGTAAATTAATCGTTTTTCTATTTCGCGCTTATTCCTTGGAAGTGAGTGCCAATCCACCTTCCAGGGTATCGGCACTTGATAATGTCCATCGAGCAATACTGTTTGTTTGTCAGTAATCTCCATAATGGTCTTATCACATAGGGACATGGTAACCTTATCAGAGTACTTATTTTCAGAAAATTCATGTTCAAATAATTTGAGAATATCCTCCTCCAAGGAATTTTTTGCTTTTAGACAGTTCATGAAGACTGAAGTTTTATTAAGTTGACCCGTTGGTCCAAATAAGGCCCACCCTAACATGGTTAGTGAAGCATAGGGTTGTTTAGGTTTTCCGATGCGCTGATCGAGTACCCAGTGGACCTCTGGAACGTCAACACCAAGTAACAAACCAACCTTGTCACAGGCAATGGTAGGTAGTTGTACACCTTTCAAGTGTTTCCATCTTTCTTGGAAGTCCGTTGGTGGGATTTCTGCTCTTTTAATAGGTAAGTTATCTATAGTATATGCACCTTCGATTTTTATTCGGCTGGTCTTATCTAAAGACTCAATTTCGAAATTGGTAAGTTCAGCGTTCTGAGATGACGCTCCAATTACTGAAAATATGTTTAATCTTGTCACTGTACCAGAAATTCCTACCTGCTTTGCCACGTCACTAAGCAGTAATGTCGAGTCTGAGCCATTATCTAACAATGCATAGGTATCCACATAACCTGTGGGACCATGTAGCCTGACTGGTACAAAGCCTAAATACGTTCCAGTAGTATGAGTAGAGTTACAACATGCTTGTTTAGCATCAGGTTCTGTGTTGTGAAGAATTCTATGATGGCGTCGCTTGCATCCATCAATTTCACACAACACGGGTTGTCTACAGTCTGTGGCTCGATGATTGGGTTTTAAACAATTGAAGCAAAGTTTAAACTTCTTCAGCAATTCTAATTTTTCGTTATGACTTACTTCCAGTAGCTGAGGGCAAGACGCGACTTCGTGGGCCTCCGAGCAAATTACACAGTGGACTGTCCCTTTAATCGACGAAGTATGGATCTTAGCTCTTATGGAAGCCGACCGATTGTTCGATATCGTTTGAGTTTTATAGCTTCCGCTTGCTAACTGTCCGTATGTGTTTGTTGCGATTGACACTTTCTTTTCTAAGAATTGCAATAAATCATCGAAATTGGGCTCTAGCCCCTTTCTTAAAATATCGTCCGCGGCCTCCGCCCATTTAAACTGCATACTACGTGGTAGCTGTTTCACTATTCGTTTTATGTTGGTCGAACAATTCAGATCGTCATTCCTGCCCATCTGTGACAAGGCTATCTTACAATTAGTCATGAGTCTTGTCAGTTTCTGTAGGCCAGTTATGTCGTCTTGATTCAATGGTGATCCACTTAAGAGTTCTGTTAAGAAGGCTTCTACGATGTCGTGTGGTCTGCCGAACCGTTCATGTAGAAGCTTAATTGCCTCAGTATAACCTTCCTTTTCTGGTAATAAAACACAGTGTTCTATAGCATCCTTTGCTATACCTTCGCAATAGTGTATCAAGTACATTAATTTCTGAGTGTCATCATTTACTCTGTCAGCTATGTTAACCTTGAATCCCTTCATGAACGTCCAAAATTTCAGAGGGCTCCCGTCAAATTTCATGATTTCTATCTTCGGTAAGCTTACTGACATACATAACGCCTTGACACTATCTACCTGTGCTTTGAATTGCATTTCATCGCTCAAAAGTACATTGGTGTATCGGTGACTTGCCGTAACTACTGAAGTTTTATCCTCGGATCGAGACCCCGACAACTCGGTATTCTCTCTAGGTCTTCTCACTTTGTTTGAAGAGTTCGGAGTTAGCTCTAACAATCGCTTGCGTAGTTGGAGTTCTCTAATCTCCAGCTCAATCTTTTCTACTTCCCTTTCCCTAGAATCCACTTCGTCTTCTACGCTGTATCTAGTCTCTATATAGTTGTCTCCTACTGAGTCTTTGGGGTTAGGTTTAACAATATCAAAGGCAAGATTTAAAGGAATAGGTGAATTCACCTTAGAAACTGAAGGAATAATATTGTCAGCAGTAGAATTGTCTGTGTCCTGGGAACTGTCGTCGTTGTACTTCATCCTTCTCGTTCTAGTCATCGTTGGGATGAATGAACCAAACAGGATTCCGACCAAATTCGTTACAGCAAGTATTCCCTCCAATTAGGACCAAAGTTCAGAACTGTATCCACACCAAATGTGACCAAAGTTGAGAACTGTTAATTCTATCGAAGCGTCCAAGTGACCCCGATTGAGATACGCGCAAAATCGAAGTTCCAAAACAACGATTTGTCTACAAAAGCGGTTCTTTATTAAATAATGCACAAAATTTAGTTACAAACCTCAACTTGTGAGGTGTCTAGGCGTTTAAACGCGTCGTTCAAGAATGAAAATATCAAAAGCTTCCTGTAAGAGTAACATAAAGAATGATTACAACATACGATAGTCCGAAGACAGCCGATAGCTGTGTCTAAATTTGGTAACAGTTTATGAACAACCGAAACTCGAACCAAGAGCAAACAATATGGAAACTGTTGCATTCAAACAAATGCATAAAACTGTGGATAACCTTTACAGTAATTAAATTACAGTGATTATAATGATAAATACAATTATAAGTAAGATAAACATTAAAGATATATGTGAACATTCCAGAATGTTACAGTACAACTTGAGTTACAACATATGTGTGAAAATTGTTGGGTATACAGCGGCCTACTGAATGTAAATAAGTAGTATAAAACAACATACAAAAGAGTAGAAAAGGAACATATAGGAACAATGTAAAACAAACTTAACAACAATTATTGTCATTATTAATACTAATATTATTATTACTACTATTATTGTCATTATTGTTATTATTATTATTATTTCCCACATTATTCACCCTCTTTTATACTTATACAGCGGCTCGTCTTTGGTGGAAATCCGACTGTATCTAAACGTTCTCGAGTCACTGTCCGGTTGAAAATTGTATGTTACCACCGAATACGAGGACTGAAGCAGATTTTCTGAAACCACGTGCACCATTCAAACTGGCTGCCTTCAACGTTCGCACATTTATGCAGGTCGGACAACAGATAGGGCTGGCTATGTCTTTGGAAAGTCTTAATATCGACGTGTGTTGTCTATCCGAGACCCGTATTCAAGACTCTGGCGAAGTACTACAAATTCGATCTCCATCTGTCGCTTCGAAAAGCTTGTTTTACGTGCGCTTATCCGGGGACCCTGTGGCATCTTCGTCTGGTCTTGCTGGCGTTGGTGTCGCACTAAGCGCTAGAGCTGAGGCAGCACTAGTCGATTGGATCCCCATTAACAGTCGGTTATGTGCTGTTAGATTAGAAAGTTCCATCAAAGTGAGAAGAAATCGGCGTGAGAAACGATGTCTTTTCGTCATCTCCGCCTATGCCCCGACAGATTGCAGCCCGGATGCAATCAAGGATGAGTTTTACCACCAGTTATCAGTTCTTCTCCAGAAAGTGCGTTCGACAGATATTGTAGTACTAGCCGGAGACTTGAATGCTCAGGTCGGGCGTCTAGGCACAGAAGAGAGTCGTTTAGGTGGCCGATGGGGACTCGTTGGTCGCAGGTCAGATAACGGGGACCGTCTACTGCAACTTTGCACAGACCACAACCTGTTTCTGGCTAGCACTAACTTTCGGCACAGTCATCGCCGATGTGCCACCTGGCGTCCTCCCTCTGCATCTCAAGCCTGGACTCAGATTGATCACATCGCGATCAGCTACCGCTGGCGTGGTTGTGTAAAAGACTGCCGCTCCTTTTGGAGTACCTATCTGGACTCTGACCATGCCTTGGTCTGCGCCAATCTTGCCTTACTTTTCAGTGGACAACGAAGTGACGCCATCAACGGATTGATGTTAGCAAGCTGGTTGCAACTTCTGTTGCAAGTAAGTATCGAACCGAGCTAGCCTCTAGGCTAGCTACCACTCCACCGAAAAGTATAGATGAGCATTGGTTGCAATTGCATGACGCCATGAAAATGGCGGGAACAGTCAGTTGTGGGTTTGCGAAACGTCCCGCTTTTAAGCACTGGGTTTCTTCTGGTTCCTTACAACTCATTGAAGCCCGTCGGTCTACTCCGGGTGACCGTGAGTTTGACCATAAACGAAGGATGTTACGTAAGGAAATTGGGCAAAGCTTGCGTAAGGACCGAGAAGCCTGGTGGTCGATGCGTGCTAATGAGCTGGAAGCAGCAGCTGCATCTGGTAACTACCGGAAGCTCTTCCAGCTCATCCGAGCCACTGGCAGCAAGAAGTCTGGTGTGAGTGAAACAATCTGCGAGGATGATGGGATGCCAATCACTAACATCCATCGACGTCTTGGACGATGGGCAGAATTTTTCGAAGGGCAGTTCAACTGGCCTGCTGCTCCGGCAACATCGGTCAGACTGTCCTGCCCTCCATGGCCGGTGACGACTGATCCACCAAATGAGGAGGAAGTCCGCAAGGAACTCCAACTCTTGAAGCGTTACAAATCACCTGGCCCAGATGACTTACCTCCGGCTCTTTTTAAAGATGGTGGTGACTTTTTGACTAAGGAATTGACGACGTTGTTTACAAAGGTTTGGGAACTAGAGAGTGTACCAACGTCATGGAATGAGTCGATAGTTGTCCCTATCTTTAAAAAGGGTTCACGTCGTTCTTGTAACAACTATCGGGGGATAAGTTTACTTCCGATTGCGTCCAAGCTATTGGCTTCCGTCATTCTTCGTAGGTTGTTCAAAACCCGAGAAAGATTGACTCGCGAGGAGCAGGCTGGGTTTCGTTCTGGTCGAGGATGTATTGATCATATCTTCACCCTCCGCCAAATGTTAGAACACCGCCATACTTTTCAAAGGCCAACAATCGTAGTGTTTCTTGACATCAGGGCTGCCTTCGATTCGTTGGACAGGACTGTTCTCTGGGATTGTCTATTGAAGAAGGGTGTGCCTGAGAAGTTTATTAACATCCTAAAAGCCCTATATAAAAACACCTCAGGCAGAGTGAGGGCATACAACCACCTCTCTCCATTGTTCCATTCGAGCAGTGGGGTTAGGCAGGGTTGCCCAATCTCACCATTCCTCTTCAACTTTGCCATCGATGACATTCTGGAAACAGCTCTGATGAATGTAAGTAATGGTGGTGTGGATCTGTTGCCTGGAGAAAGACTTCTCGACCTTGAGTATGCGGACGATATTGTCTTACTGTGCGATAATGCCCAAGGCATGCAATCCGCACTTAATCAGTTGGCAATCAGTGTCCGTAGGTATGGTATGTGCTTTGCACCTTCGAAGTGCAAAGTACTTCTACAAGACTGGCAGGATTCTAATCCTGTACTCACCCTGGATGGTGAGCAGATAGACGTAGTTGAGAAGTTCGTGTATCTGGGTAGCTGCATAAGTGCTGGTGGGGGTGTGAGTGATGAGATCAATGCACGAATAGTGAAAGCCAGAGCGGCTTATGCCAATCTGGGCCACCTTTGGCGCCTTCGTGATGTTAGTCTGGCTGTAAAAGGTCGGATCTACAACGCGTCGGTGAGAGCAGTTTTGCTCTATGCTTGTGAAACCTGGCCTCTCCGAGTTGAGGACGTTAGACGACTCTCTGTGTTCGATCATCGCTGTCTCCGAAGGATTGCTGACATTCAGTGGCAACACCATGTCAGTAATGCAGAGGTTCGGCATCGTGTGTTCGGGCACAGAGATGATAACTCAATTGGTGTCACCATCTTGAAACACCGACTTCGGTGGCTTGGACATGTTCTCCGAATGTCGTCCCAGAGAATTCCACGTCGTGCATTATTTGCCGACTCTGGGACTGGTTGGAAGAAGCGGAGAGGTGGTCAGTGCATGACATGGTGTCGTGGCATGAAAGAAAGCTGCAAAGGACTGGCTTGTGTTGGTCCTTCACGACTCCCTGGTTGGGGTCCGAGAGATGGTGCTACACAGTGGCTAGAGACGTTATCAGATATGGCTCAGAATAGAAGCCAGTGGCGATCCTGCTGTAACCTTCTTTTACTTTCTTCATAAAAAGTGGTTGTGTCTCCTTTACCTGAAAGATTTCTTCTGATTGTACCTTTTCGTTCCGTCGTTACTACCACACTACCTTACTCCAATCTCTTCGTCATTGTTCTCTTTTTCTTTTGCGTTCCTTAGTTTTTTTTTTCTCTTTCTACTTCTCTTCGAATTCCATTGTTTTGTGTGGCGCATATATATTGGCGCTCTCTTGTACCAATATTTATGTGTTCAAATAAATAAATAAATAAATAAATTTTGATTACATTTGAATTGTTAATACTTGTATTTTTTTTTATTATAGTTTTTGTTTTTCTTGCGCATTCACTAAGTTTGTGTTTCTTCCTGAACTGCATCTGTGTTGTTTTACTTGACACTTGTTCTTGGCGGTAGCCATATTGATTTGCTCCTCGTTTTGTGTGTGTTCTATCCAGTCAGGATAGAATAACGTTCATTTGTTGTGACTGGTGAATTTTCCTCATCTTCTATCAACTTCTTTATTTATTGTAATTTAGATTTGATTGATTGAACAATCATTGGTTGAATAGCCGGCTGGTAATATTTCTTTAGGTAACGATTTACATTTAAATTTATGATGAATTATAGAACCGCTATTTACCCGATTACTTGTTTTGATCTCGACGGGAAGGGGCGCGTGTCTAAAGTCCCCGGTCGGCTATTCTTCAACATCCAAACCGTAGTTTAGATTCTACATATAATAGTAGTCAATAAAATTCAGTCAATACCTGGAAGGCTTGATAAACGTGATGTTAAACGTTAGTCGTTAGTCAATCAGTTTTAAATATCTTAGTTTCACTGAAGATCATTCGTCACTCGAATATCTCAATAGTGAAGTATGAAAATATGTAGCTGTGTGTTATTGAGAGCACCAGTCCTCCCAAAGATTAGGAGTGGGCCTCGATGATGAGTACTAGTCAGTATGAAACTTGAGTCAACATTGGTTTCCTATTTACTAAGTCCAACCAACGAACAACTCAATCACTTACACTAGTGGTCTTATTGAAACTTGATCTAGAATATTCGATCATCACTAAAGAATGAGTTGAACATCGCTTTGCTTCGAGTCACAGAGTGAATATCAACTTTGAGGTGCAGGTACATTCAACTGACGAGTCCCGAATAGGACGAAACACGTGTCCTAGATTCCACTACTAGCCACTATCCACCTTTGTCCTCAAATGCCCTAGTACGGCCGAGAGTGGAGAGGGTCCGCTCTCCATCTAGAAATGATCTCACATGGCCACACATATATGGCCTCTGCCAAGGAAGTCCTACTCACTGGCTTCTCGCACCACGGGTGTTGTTTACAAAAATGAGAGGACGAAAAGCGAATGTCCGGCGCTTTAATCGGGTTGGTAGACATGGAGAGTCAACTTAGGGGAGTTGGAAAACCCTCATTCCAAACCAATAGTGCACATTAAATATTAAATATACTGAAATTCAAAAAGGCTATTCTT